ACCAATGTCATAAAACAGCATGTGTGCTACTGTTACATGAGAAACTATCTGTTCTGTAAGCCTTCACCTGAAGTACAATAAAATATTTTTAAAAAAAAACAAAAAAAACCAATGCCACCTTGGATTTGACCCTGGCATACTGATCTCTTTTCCCATAGGAAATTTTTCATCTTTACTAAAGCATCCCATTGGCAGCATTACAAGATTCTGTGTCCCACATTACCTGGTCTTGGATAAGCCTATGCCGGCTCTCAGTAAGTGAGAATAAATATAGGCAGGGAGAGAAAAGCAGGCAAATTCCTGGAGAGATACCAGAGGCTGTATTCTATACACTAGCAATGAACAATACAAAAATGGAAGTGAGAAAACATTTCCATTTACAATAACAAAAAGACTAAAATTCCCTGTCTGTCTAAAGCTGTCTAAAGCATTCCTGGGTCTCTATATCAACATTTCTTCCCAGAGTACAGATAATCTAAAATCAACTACTCCAGTTGTGACATGGGTACCCTAGGAGATGCAAAGAACCTATCAATTTACTCTCTCAGGTAACATAAAAACGGTGTTGGCACTGGTCTTTTATTAGCCCGAACAAGCCTCAATATTCCTGGCCCCTTCCCTCTCCACTGCCCTTTAAAACCCTTGGGCTCTGGACTGTTCTGCTTGCTCACATGTCTCTCATACCTTGCCCATAAGGAAAAGAAAACATCTCACCCTTCATCTCTCTGATTTGCCAGAAAAGCAAATTTCCTTCTCACTCTGGGCCCCTTTGCCACCTAAGCAGAGATTAGAATGGAGACACAGACATGAAGGTTTCCTTTCTTTTCTTTCCTTTTTGCTCATTCACTATGACAACTGCAAATGACACCTCAAAGATGCCATCTGCCTCCAGCCTGTGCCATGTTCTCTTAACAGATGGGACTTAAATTTGTGAGAAGGTTGAGCATTTCAAAGAGAGCAGCTTGGTTTGTTCAGATCCGATTATAGGGAGGTCAGATATTTTACCTCAAGAAGCAGTCTTACAAAGTTTGTTGCTTTTCCTTCCAGGTGTCTACAAATCAATTGGAAATAATTCTTTATAAGAATATCAGAAATTAAACACCTACATTAGTGCTGACCTTGTAAGAGAGATCACTTGGGAGACTATGCCGTTATTCCAATAGTACTGACAACTGAAAACATTTCTGCAAATTCTCTTTGGAACTGTCTCCTGAGCTCTTCATTCACCATTCAACATTAACTGAATGGCTAACAAATGACGACCTTCCTACCACACCCAGAGATGACCAGAACATAAGTCCTTCCCTCAAGGAGGGTGTTGTCTAGAAGAGGGTACAAACATAAGCAGGTAAATTACAACTGGAGAAGTATTATAACAAAGCTACAGACAAGTACTGCAGGGCAGAGAGAAAGAAGCCAGCAACTCTCACCAGAGGACCTGGGGAACCAGGCTTCTGGGGTCACAATCTTAATGGATGAGTCAGCTGAAGAGTAGGGAAGCCATTCAAACAGACAGAACAGCAGGTTGAATGCCTGGAGCTGAAAAGGGTTTGGCATATTCAGAGTGGTGAAAGAGCAGTGCCAAGACTTATTCCTATGAGCAGTAGAGAACTAAAAGCAGGAAAACGATGGGAACCATTTGGTTTTTAGAAAGATTGTTGTCTTTAGTTGTCGTAGAGTCGGAACGAATCACTGCCCAGTCTTGCGCTATCCCTATAATCAGTTGCAGACCATTGTGATCAATAGGGATTTCATTGGCTGATTTTCAGAAGTAGATCATCCCATCTTTCATCCTAGTCTGTCTTACTCTGGAAGCTCGGCTGAAACCTATTCGGCATCATAGCAACACGCAACCCTCCCACTGACAGATGGGTGATGGCTGTGTATGAGGTGCATTGTCCAGGAATCAAACCTGGGTCTCCAAAATGGAAAGTGAGAATTCTACCATTGAACCACCATTGCCTCCTTAGAAAGAGTAAACCACTTGCCATCAAGTCAATTCCAACTTGTGGTGACCCCATGTGTGTCAGAGTAGAACTGTGCTCCACAGGGTTTTCGATGGCTAATTTTCCAAAAATAGATTGCCAGGCCTTTCTTCTGAGGTGCCTGTGGGTGGACTCAAACCCCATCCTTTGGGTTGCCAGCCAAGCACCTTAACCATCTGCACCACTCAGGAACTCCTTACAAAGATTATTCAGGTGTATTTTGAAGGAGAGACTAGAGTGCAGAGGAGCTGGAGGCCACAAAGAAAGAATACAATGCCATTTACTAAGCAATTACCATGTGCCAGACACTGCTAGCTCTTGGTACACTTGAGCTCATCCTCACAGAAGTCATAAGAAGCAATAATAACAATAACAAGAGTTAATGTTTACTGAGTTCTTACTCTGGACCAGATACTATGCTCAGAACTTAAAATGCATAGTTCTATTTAATCTTCAAAATGATCCCTAAGCTAAATATTACTGTGTCCATCTTGTAGACCTAAGGCTTAGAGAGGTTAAGTAACCTGCCAAAGGTCATACAGCTAGTAAACAGCCAAGTCAGGATTAAAAACTAGATTTGTCAGACTCCAAAGCAATTACTCAGCAAAGAGGTGAAGAGATCAAATCAAGGCAATACA